TGAAGGATGGCATCAGCCACAGCTGCAAAGTAACCTGCCCCGTTCACAAACCTAAAGAAGGGTGAGTGGCAGAATGGAAATCAGAGGAGCCCAAGAGGCAGAAGAAAGGGTCATGGAGGGGGACAGATTGGGTCATGATAATGGACCAAGAAGATGAGGAAAAGTCAGAACAGATGGGTCAGAGTGGAGGGAGATCAGAAACTGGAGGGAAGTCAGAGAAATCTGAGATGAGGGGAACTCCAGAGACAATTGAGAGAACAGAGAAAGGACAGGACAGCACATCAGAGATGGTCTGAGAAGAGTGAGAATGTCAGGAATTTAGAGGGAAATTAGAGGTAGAAAGTGGTCAGAGAGGGGTAGAGGGAGGTCAGGAGGAGTAGAAAGAGGCCAGAGCAGGTAAAGGGAGGTCTTACCATCTGGCCAGGGTTCTTGGCCTGAGTGGGGCATAGCTCTGATGTCTGTGTAGCTGTAAGAAGTCACACCCCTGACTCCGAGCTAGCTCTGTGATTTCCTGACCCCACCATCGAGCCTGACGGTAACTGTTGCACTTGAGGATCAGGGATCTATGGAGGTGACCACAACGGGGTTTAGCTGCTGATACCCCCAACTCCTGCTCCTCATCCTCTCAGCTCTAGCTCTCATTTCCCTAACCCCTGAATAATTCCTCCCCTTTACGCAATGAAATATTACCTTGGTCTCTGATGACAAACAGGACAACATAGTTCTCATTCTTCAGGGTCTCTCCCCATGCTCCCCACCCCCACACTGTTTACAAATATCTTTCAAAAACATTCCCCTATGTGAACCAAGTGAGGAAGACAGGTCATTGGACTTAGGAGTTCTAAGGAACCTTAGAGACTCTTTAATAGTGGAAAAAAACACTAGCCTTGGAGTGAAAAGACATGAATTCAAGACCTGCCTCTCACTTAACTAACTACTTTCATGACCGTGCTCAAGTTCTTATACCTCCCTGAGCCTCAGTTTCCTAAGCTATAAAAAATGAAGGAGTTAGACTATATGTGAAGTCTCCTCTCACCTCGAGGTCTGTGATCTATGACTAAATAATATAAACTAATCTCATTTTATAGATAATGAAAATGAAGGCCAGACAGAGGAAGTTACCTGTTGAAGGGTCAAGTTTTGAACCTAGGTCTTCTAACTGCAGGCAGCTAGGTGGCACAGTGGATAGAGCACCAGGCCTGGAGTCAGAAAGACCTGAGTTCAAATCTAGCCTCAGACACTTACTAGCTGTGTGAAGCTGGGCAAGTCACTTAACCCTGTTTACCTCAGTTTTCTCATCTGGAAAAGGAAATGGCAAACCACTCCAGTATCTTTGCCAAGAAAACCCCAAATAGGGTCACGAAGTCAGACACGACTAAAAACTAAATCCAACTCCAGAGCTTATGGAAGTTAAGGCTCAGAGAAACTTAAGGGACCTCTTACTGAGTTAAGTGACACAGGTCATTCCAGTAAGCACCAGGGACAGGACTGAAGTGGGGTCTTTTGAATCTTAGTCTAATGTTTTGCTACTATTCTCTGTCCCTGTATCCATACAGGGGGCATCCAGAATGTGGGCATGAGGATGTTTTGGACTCCCCACCCCCTATTCTGGACCAGGCTCAGAAAATAGTCTTAACTTTTCTTAATGCAGTAACCACTGGTCTGGGACTGAGGATATGATAGATAGAATAACAGTGTAAGAATTAGGGAAGGACAAACAAAAGAGAGGAGTAAAAATCTTTTTTCTACCTTTTTTTCCCCTACTCTTCTCCTCTCTAGGCTGCCCATCAGGCTTTCCCCAACTATTTCCATCCCACCCCTGTCTCAGTTGAGCCCTCCTCCTAATACCTCTATGCTTTCTTGGATATGTGACCATGTTCTGTAATCCCTCCCACTCTTCTCCTCCAGCACCAGTTGGTACTGGTCTCTGACCTGTGAGAAGTGTCGATTCGGACTCCATATCGAGTTTCTGTGTTCTGTTTCCCAACCTGGACCTCAAATCCAGGGTCAAAAAGCTGGACAAAGGAGATAGAGCCTGTCTCTGGGCGCATGTACAGCAGGAAGGAGTCTTTCACCACCAGCCATCTGGATAATAGAATGAGTTGTGATTAGTGATGAATCTGGCCAGCCCCACCCCACTTCAACTTTACTGTCAACTATTTATCTCCAGTATATAGATGTCTGGCTCCCTAGTCGCCATTTCCTTTATCAATCCAAGCAACTGTCCCACTCTCCAGTCTTCCCCCTACTCAGTGATCCAGGCATCTGGCCCCCCAGTTTACCTCTTGGACCATCGGTAACAGACTTGGTCTCGGCCACAGCAGGTAAAGCCAGGAACTCGGTGCCCCCCTGAGCGCTTGCGGATCAAACCTTCCCTGTGGGGGCCACAAGTTAGAGAGATTCAGTAGTACTAGACAGGGGTTCCCAATACTGACCCAGTTGTCCAAAGTGGAAGGAACGGGGCACCAGTAGTTGGGGAGTATTTGGGAGGAGGGTAATGAGAACAGAGTATGAAAAAGGAGCTGAGAGAGGTAGAACCAAGAGTGTTAATGGTGAAAGGCCCTCAGAAAATCATTTAGTCCAGCCCCCTCGTATTATATAGAAGGAAGCTGAGGCCCAGAGAGAAATGACTTGTCCAAAATCACACAGAAAGTTAGTGGTACTGAAGGCTGTGGGGATATCAGGGTTACTCACAATCCTTTGGGGCCAAGATCAGGTATGAAGGAGAACGGACTGACCTCTAGAAATTCTGTCTAATAGAGGAAGAGGAAATACCTGATTCAGGACCCCAAATATCTGGCTTTGTAGGAATCCAACTCCCATGGCCCTCAGGATCCGGGCATCTGGCCTCCCAACACCCACTACCCACAACCCACATCTGGTCCCCAGCCTCCAATGCCCTCATTGATCAAGGTTTCTGGCTAAGGCTACCTCACCATGGCATGATAGTTTCGGTAGAATGAAATGGCCAAGAGGTGATTGAGATAATTCTCTAGGTATTTCTGGAGTGAGAAAAGAAAGAAAGGAAGATGTGGCTCTGAGAAATCCCCATACCAAGGTTTTCCAGGGTCACTGTCCCCTTCCTGTCCCTGTCCCCACCCCCAGAAAAGTAACCAGACCATACCTGTTTGCTGGCCCTGTGTCTGGAGGAGCCTTCAGAACCTACTCTGGGCAAAGAGGGGATTTCAGCTATAGGAGCAGCTTCTTGGGAAGGGGAATAGGCAACAGCAAACCTGTCGGTTGGAAGGTTGGAAAAGGGGCATTCAGCCCTGATTGAGAGTCTGCCACAGAATCAGGGGCCCTGGTGTGTGTGTGTGTGTGTATGTATGTATGTGTATGGGTGGGTGTGTTGGTGGTGGTGATGATGGAAGAGGAGGAATGGGGTGGGGACAGTGGAGAAAAAAGAAGAAAAAGGGATTGAGCTTTGTGGGAGCCTAAGGATGGTCCCATCCTCCTCTCACCGGGCCAGAGGGAGGAGGCTCATCAAAACTTTGTGTCTCAGCAGGTCTCGATGAAGCTCCTGGAAATTTCGGAATTTCTTCTTGGTTGTCCATGTGAAATCACCATGGGATAGTCGGACAGAGTAAAGTGTGCAGGTGCCCACCTTTGGGTTCCAAGTACTGGGTGTCAGGTTCTTCCTCTCCTAGGTTCCCTGAGTGAGTCCCTCCCCCACCCACATATACAACCACCCTTTACTCAAGAGTCCAAGAATTTGGCCCCCTAACCTTGGATCCACTGGTGTATCTCTCAGTGCCTATGACTTGTGCAATAACAGGGACGCCAGGGGCAAAAATCCTGGGATGATTCCTCAGGGGCTGAAGGTTATAGATGGTCAAGAAGTGATGCATCCGGTCAGCTGTGTGTATGTGTGTGGGAAGGTTGAAGGAGCTTAGAACCTGGTACCCTAACCTCCATATTTATTCGCTTGGTCCCCACCCTCAGATATCTTGCTTCCCAGCCCCTTCTGTGCTATGCCCTCTATTTCCCCCCTCCCCCTCCAGATTACCTGGGTCTTCCCCTTCTTTCAAGGTGTCCAATTCATCTGGTTCCATCTGGAGCTGGCTGGAGTCAAGGCCACCATCTCCAGGGAACATTCCCTCTGGGGCTGACATCATACTGGACAGTAGACCAAGAAATCTTAGGAAGGTATGGTCCTTCCCTCAATACTTCTTCCCTTTTTAAGGCTGACCCTTCCATCTCTGACCTTGATTGGATATTTCTTACCTTCATCTCTGATCATGACCTTCTATCTTAACTTGAATTCTACTCTTTTCTGTTTGACCCTTTTCTCTGACCCTGACATCCGTTCCCAAACACCTCTCATCCAAAATTCTGGCCTCCCGTGCTGATCCATCTCGGCTGCCTCCTCCACCTCCAACTCTCTCTTTTGCTTTCAACACCCACTTCCCCAGTACCCATTCTTTTAATTCTCTTTGGGAAGAGGGGGAGGGGACAGTAATGAGAGAGAAGGCACCGAGCCCAGCACAGGATGTCTCAGAACTGGGGCAGAGAAGGGGCCCTGGGAAGGAGGCATGGGGGAAGGGGAAACCGGATGAGGCTCAGGGAAGGTCCCTGAGGGGCAAGTGCACCTGGCCTAACGCTGGGGCTTCAGAGGCATGAGGGGTCAACACGAGACATGGATCAGGGAAGGGTGGGGTATGGCAATCAGTGAGGAAGTCTCGCTCTACCTCCCAAGCTGGGAAGGGAGGGAAATTCCGAAGCTCCGAAAGCGCAGCTGGGCTCCTAGCCCCAGTCCTCCCAGGTCTTCTCTTCCTTCACCACTCAGAGCCAGAACCAGAACCGGAGCCGGGATGCCAGCGGATCAGGAACATAACCAGACATCCTGAGTTTTTCGGGCTGGGCCGGGCCAGGCCCGGAGAGCAAATGGGGATGATTACAATGGCCTCACCCTCTGGGGCGGGACAGGACAAGGAGTCAGAGAGGGCGGGGCACGCTTTCCTGAAGCCTCACCTCCTCAGCATTCTTGTTCATCTTGTTTCTCCATCTCGTGGGGAGGACTGAAGAAGTGGGGGTGGAATCAGGCTGTGAGGCACAGAGTGGAGGGAAGAATGAAAGCACTTGCCTGCATTTCTCTGTGTCTTTGGGTATCTGTCTCCGCATAGAGAATTAAATTTCTGTCTCTCTCCTTACATTCACCCTTCAACTCTCCCTACTTCCTACGGCCCCAAAGAAAATCCTAAATTGTGTGTGTGTGTGTGTGTGTGTGTGTGTGTGTGTGTGTGTGTGTG